TTTGTGTGTCTCGTTGCCGTCCTCTGTCTTTCCTTCAGTATCCTAACCAGCATTCTTCCTCCTCAGATGTTTTAATCTGCACCAGCATCCCTTTGTAGCAGCCTACACACTGAGATCATTTACATATTTGTGTGTGTGGCATTTTGTTCATAATGACTTTTTGTTTTGCAGTATTATGTGCCAAGAACCTCGCAAAGAAAGACTTCTTTCGTAAGTACTTTTTTTTTTAAGCTTTCAAGAACAATTAACTGCAAGTAAACAGCCATACATAGATGTAATCTTTAGAAAAGAAGATTAAAATGGCTGCATCCACATACAGCTTTGAGACTATGGTATTTGGAATAATAAGCATATTAACTGAAAAGACCTGCTCCTCTTAACGTGACAGATCCAAATCTTAAAACTTCATATTCAGTATCAAATGTACACTTTTAAACTGTTTCTGGCCACTCAAAAAAAAAAAAAATTCTAACTCGGCCTGCGTTGTTTACAACAACTGAGCTTCACTTCATCAGTACTTTCTATTGTGCTCATTTCCATATACACGAGTCTTTTATTATGATGATGAGAGGATGTGTTTGTAGCTGTTTGCCAGCCAAAGCAGTGCTGTAAACAGCTTGGTGCACTGGTGCTGCTAAGTTGCTGTATGCGTCCAGGATCTGTTAATACCAGAAGAACACAAACTGCAGGTCAGTGTCAGGTGGAGAAAGACGAGCATTTCTGACATAGTAGGGCAGTCGTCTCCCAACCGGAGGGTCGGAGGTTCGAATCTTGGTGCCTCCAGTCCACGTGTTGAAGTGTTTTGGGCAAGGCAGTGAACCCCCAAGTTGGTTAGAGCCATCAGTTGAGTTGGCGTCACAGATGGCTGCCTCGGTTCTGTACCGGAAACAAATTCCTTGTGTGTAACATACTTGGCCAATAAAGGTGATTATTATCCATATGCCTCCAGCTGTAGAAAGCTGGGATTTGGTTTCACATGCAGTACTCAATTATGACCTCCTTTTGTTTTAATTTAGTGGATGCAGACAATTAATTTGAGTTGTGTGCACGCAGGCCTGCCAGACCCATTTGCCAAGGTTGTGGTGGACGGATCAGGTCAGTGCCACTCTACAGACACAGTCAAAAGCACACTGGACCCCAAATGGAACCAGCACTACGACCTGTGAGTCTCTGGCACCACACTCATGAGCGCTCTGCTGGTTAATGCAGTGTATTTATTTAGAAAATGATTGATTAAATTATTTTTAGATGTAACAACTGGTAGTAGATTGTGTTGAAAATCTAGTAATAAGAATCTGATGTCTCTTTTTCAGCTATATAGGAAAGACAGACTCCATCACCATCAGTATATGGAATCACAAAAAAATTCATAAACGACAGGGGGCCGGCTTCCTAGGCTGCATACGACTTCTCTCCAATGCTATCAGCAGGCTAAAAGACACAGGATGTAAGTTCACCTTTTTCTGTTGAGCCATTTGACTTTAAATACATGTGCACAGATATTAATAAAACAAGGAAGCTTTTGGTTCAGGTGCATTTCTTTCCCCCTCTCCTTCCAGACCAGCGTCTAGATCTGTGTAAACTCAACCCTTCAGATAGCGATGCAGTCCGGGGGCAGATTGTAGGCAAGTCTGGACACACAGATACAGTATCTGTACAAATGACTCCAGTGACTCTCTCCTTGCATCACCTTTGTCCCACTGGGCCTCTCTGTCATCACTCTGAGCTTTACCACCTGCTTGTTTGCAGTGAGTTTACAGACGCGAGACCGCATCGGCAGCGGAGGCCCGGTGGTGGACTGCAGAGGACTGTTGGAAAATGATGGGTGAGTGTGTCACCAGACCGTTACTGTGCCAAAGTAACATTTAACAACACGCAACCGTTACTTATTGTCATGTTGTTAAATGTTTAAATATGTCTCACAGATTATTCTGTTTGGCTTTCTCGGAAGAGTTAGAGACCGAAGAATCCACTGTCTTACGTCATCATAGGTCATGTCATAGTCGGTGCTTTTGTTTTATGACGCTATGAGTGATAATTAGGTTTCAGATTTTAAACAAGACAAACATACTTGGATAAATATCATCTTAAAGTGTAGTAAATGGTTAAACATGTTTGCTGATACTTTCATGACCAGTTGACTCTAAAATCTCACACAAGGTTCACCTGGTTTGTAACAAATGATTCGCATAATGTTCACATATATCAAACTACTCGGTGACCCCTCATTTTCTGTATAGAAGCAGTTGCATTTGTTATGTTTCTGCATTCATTTCTTCAGCTTTGGGTTTTATCGGCTGCATGATGTAATGTAAGGACGGGTGTTAGCTGCAGGGGACCCATAACCAAGGTTAATGTCTGAAAGCTGTGTCAGTAGAACCCTTCTTTGTCAAGGTGGTGTTCCATGTGAAGTCAGGTGCTGATTGTCCTGCAGGATCAGGTCACTTACAATCGTTGCTTGATCACAAAGCAAGATCAGCAGCTTATCTGGCTAAATGGGACCAGCTCTGGTTCTCCGGTACCATGAAGCTTGTTCAATTTTAATCGGGCTAGGTCACCACAGTAACTTGTGCTACATGGCTAACCTGGTTTATCATATCACAGCTATGTTTTAAGCCTTGCTTTAATATCTGTTAATGATTTTTTATGTTTTGTATAGTTTCCTCATGTGACAATGGTTTATTGTTTAAAGTTCACCTGATGTAGTGTCATGTTTTGCTCTGGCTATAAACGAATTTCCCCACAAGCATCATCATCTCACATAAAGTGCTTCTCTCGTGGTTCTGGCGATGTTGCTTTTAATTAAAAACGCTGCCTGTTTCATGTGAACGCGCTCTTAGACTGAACCCAGACTTAACAGAGCTCAGTGAACCCAGATAGCCCAGCCAGACCAAGTTGGCCTCACTTCCTGGTACAGGTCTCTGGTCTCTGGTGCTCTGAGTTCAAAATGAAAAGCAGCTGACCATGTGATTTCAGGAAAACAGAGCAAACAGGACTTTAGCAGTGGTGTGTGTGTTTGTGTGTAGGCCTTTGTTTGAAGGATGTTTCAGTGAAGAGCCGCTGCCCTACTCTGACTCCACTGGTGCAGCGGGGGGCGGGAACTGCCGGCTTGACTCGCCCAGTCAGGAGAGCCGCCTTCAGACACTGCGAATCAGAGGGCAGGACTCTAGAGGCCATGGGCACACCCCTCAGAACAGACCTCACGGGCACCAACCGCCTGATCTGCCAGAGGGTTACGGTCAGTCAGACTCTTCTGACTGAAGTTTGAATGTTTATATGAACTAAGTTTCTCACATTGAATTTATAAAGACACTCAATATCTTTTGTTTTTAAAACAGAGCAGCGAACAACAGTGCAGGGTCAGGTGTACTTTCTTCACACACAGACAGGAGTCAGCACCTGGCACGACCCTCGGATACCGCGGTACGATTATACCCCACCTCACTTACGTCTAGTCCAGGCATAACCTAAACTGAATGAACCTTGAATAAACCCCACTGAGAAGCTAGATCACTGTAGCAGCAGAGGAGGAGAAGAAGAAAGAAAGACCAGATGAAATCACCACACGTGGGCCATACTGAGGACACTACATCTTTGTAATGCTATGAAAACTAAAGGATTATTCTGTTTTATGAGTGGAAAACTTCACATTCAAAACAAATGCATTTAAAAATTGTTCCTCCATTTGTTGTTAGCATTCAGTAGCAGAAGTCGTCATGCTCTTCCCTGATTCACAAACAAACATCCTCTTGTCCTTTGTTCTGCACTAATTACACCAACAGATTTAGTGAAGCATGTCAGGTTATTTCCTTAGCCTTCCTGGATCCTGGTTTCAGTCAGTATCCTGGAGGAATAACATACAGTTTATAGGCCTAGAAGTGTTAGAGAGAGGTCTGGTTGAGAGCTCAGCAGCTTCAGGCTGACTCATTGTCGCTGGTGCAGGGACCTGGCCAGTGTGAGCTGTGAGGAGCTCGGCCCGCTGCCAGTGGGCTGGGAGGTCCGAAGCACCGTGTCCGGTCGGATCTACTTTGTGGACCACAACAATCGAACCACACAGTTCACAGACCCGCGCCTACACACCATTATCAGGTACATGCATGCACAAACACTTGAAGGTACTCTTACATATCCTCAGCTGGCAGACTGTCTGCACTTGTGTGGCAGGCATCCCTGACTCATACAAAATGAGTGGTTTCAAGACTAATCTGCCACTGCTGTAATGCTGAAGTTGACTGGATCTGAACGTGATCTACTAACAGTCACCAGCTCTGTTAATAATGCTGAGTCATGTGATTTACACAAATGTGGGCCTGTAGGAGATTTAGCTGCTCTGGCTGAAGGCACAGTGTCTAATCCAGGCTGCTTTTATTTGTTTTTGTCTTTATTTGGTCCTGCCTGGCGTTCGTCCTTCTTATCACGTTGTCTCTTTCCCATCCTCTCCTTTCTCGACTATAGCCAGCAGTCCCAAGCCAAGGAATCCTCCCAAGGCCCCCAGATGGATGTTGGGGGTGAGGATGGGGTAGGTGGAGGAGTGGGCAGCGGGGGAGGGGATGGAGATGTGGCAGCACGCTACGAGAGAGACTTGGTCCATAAGTTGAAGCTGCTCCGTCATGAGCTGTCCTTGCAGCAGCCTCAAGCAGGACACTGCCGCATAGAGGTGTCCCGAGAGGAGATCTTTGAGGTGGGTGCAGCTGTGAAACCAGGAAAGGCTCTTAGAAAGGCCTTGCTTAAAGAAATCACAGCATTTCTCTGCCATGAGTAGCACCTGACATCAAGGTTATGGCTCTCTCATACACACATGTGAACAGATGAGACGGTAGTACAAATGTATTCACACTCAGAGCTGTGAAAGTAGTGTGGATGTGTGTGTGGGTAGATACGCTCAGAGTTTTACATCCACAGAACCAGTCCCAACAAACCATTCTTTCAGTGTCTCGTTGTGGAGGAGCACACAATCTGACTGTACATGTTAATAAACAGCATTTCTGATCCAAAAGTGTAGAAATGATTATGTAGTGTGTCCTGAGACCGTTGTTATGAATTGGTGCTGTACAAATGAATTGAATTAAAGACCCGACTTGTGGGTCACTTCTTGTTTATATGATCATAGGAGTCGTATCGGCAGATAATGAAGATGAGACCCAAAGACCTGAAGAAGCGTCTGATGGTGAAGTTCAGGGGAGAGGAGGGCCTGGACTATGGTGGAGTGGCCAGGTAAGTCGCTGAGCTTCTGCCTGCTGTGTCCATTTCTGCTTGCAAAGTTGTCCAGGTGTTTTAGTTCCCCCCCCCCATGAGTCAGACCAGTTAGTCTGCTTCTACAGCTAAACAAATTATAAGTATGAAATGAAGTAATGCAGAAGAAAAGAAGCATACTACTTAATTTAAAACTATATAAAACAAATTCCCACCACCTGTTTCCTCCACGCTGAACTCTTGTCCTTAGCAGTCACAATCTGAACATTTTATTTCCACAATGTTAGAAACTAGCAGGGCTTGTGGTTTGCTCACTCCCTTGAAGCAAGAGCGGCTGCAGTGGCACCACAGGGGAGGGAAGAGATCGGATATGATCACCCTAAATGGTTACACCCACTCATTGGCTAGTGTTCACAGTACTGATCTTCCTCTTTTCTTCTGTATGTTAGTCAGACTTGAAATCCAGTAACAGTGGGAGGTTACTGAAGGACTGTCTTAAATGTTTGCAAATGTACCCACAGTAAAATCAGTGGCCTTTGCAGGGTTCCCTGGGTCCTCTGGAGTTGTTTGGTTTGTACAGTGTTTTTATCAGCTTAGCCAGATGTTTGGAACTTTAGATGTTTTCAACAATTGGTCTTAGTTGATCAGATGTAATCGAAGTGGGACTGTGAAACTAAAAGAGAAATAGATTCAGCATCTGGAGGAATTTTTATCATGGCCACATTTCACACAATTCTCAGAGGATAAAATTGTTAAGTGGTGGCATTTTATATCCAAAAGGTCAAAAGTCACTTTCACAGTGGCATCATAAGGTGAATCCTAATTCCACATTTCCCTCATTTGCATCTTAGTCCTGCCCATGTAAGATGCAAGGAGAAACATGTGTTACCTTACATGAGACGTCCTTTGGTCCCAAGCCTTCATATGAAGCGTCCGGTCACAGACTGATTTCCAATAAAGTACATGTCAGTCCATAATAGACTTGCACGAAGGATGCACTCGTGTATCCTCAGTTAGCTCCTCCAAGTGGCCTCCTGACTCCTCGGAGCAGAAATAAGAGCTCTGGGACATCCTTCATCGTGGTGGTCTGGAATGACTTCTGGGCCGAGTGAGGATCAAGGAATGATAAAATAAGGGTTCAGCTGCGGTTCAACTATAGTGTTTTGCAGAAACACTTTTCTGGCCATTATTCATGTTAGCTGTAAGAGTGCCAGCTGTTTCAGCAAAACTGGAGCATTTATTCCTTAAAGCTGCTACACACCGTCTGCATTACATAAACCTTCTTATTGTGTAGATGATTGTTCTGCCAAGCTCCATGTGAAGTTTGAACATTAGTTAACAATGTGCTGGTTGTCTGCAGGGAGTGGCTGTACTTGCTGTGTCATGAAATGTTGAACCCCTACTACGGCCTGTTCCAGTACTCCACAGACAATATCTACACGCTACAGATCAACCCCGACTCCTCCATCAACCCTGTAAGTACACACACACACACACACACACACACACACACACACACACACACACACACACACACACACACACACACACACACACACACACAAACACTTCATGGCTGAACTGTGTGAGACAACTAACTCTGTCCCTGTCGCTCTTTGTGCTGCCTTTCAGGACCACCTGTCGTATTTCCATTTTGTGGGTCGTGTGATGGGCTTGGCTGTGTTTCATGGTCACTACATCAATGGGAGCTTCACGCTGCCTTTCTACAAACAGCTCCTAGGTAAACCAATCCAGCTCAACGACCTGGAGACCACCGACCCCGAGTTACACAAGAGCCTCGTCTGGATACTGTGAGCAAATGCGCCTTCACACAAGTCAATGTGATGACAGAGAGCTTATTATCATACACTGCCCCTCACTGCATGTCCTACACGGTCCCCTTGAGGACATGGACAGATTTTTAATTTCACTGTTACTTATTCTGTTGTTCTGTGTACAGAGAGAACGACATCACTTCAGTCCTCGACCACACTTTCTGCGTAGAGCACAATGCCTTTGGCAAATTTCTACAACATGAGCTCAAACCAAATGGACGTAATATCCCTGTAACTGAGGAGAACAAGAAGGAATACGTAAGGTAACAACAGTGAAACCGTTTTGTCCCACCTTGTTTGCCTCTTATCCAAACTGTTGCCCAGATGCAGAGTGTAAACAATGTACTTCTGGAGCACAAGAAGTTCATGTGCACATTTTATTACAGTATCTTTATTTGCCCCGTGTCATTCGTGTTTTTCAGGCTTTATGTGAACTGGAGGTTTATGCGTGGAATTGAAGCTCAGTTTCTGGCTCTGCAGAAGGGATTCAGTGAGCTCATCCCCCAACACTTCCTCAAACCCTTCGACCATAAAGAACTTGAGGTACGTGAGCCGTCTGTGAACAGTAAACCAGGTGTAGTGTTGGACACACCAAGGAAAAGATTTTATAAATGGTTTTGTGCTTTTCATTCATCGTGTTTGTACTGGGTTGCATGTTCCTTTCACTCTGTTCCAGTTGATCATTGGTGGACTGGGGAAGATCGACCTTTCAGACTGGAAGACCAACACCCGCCTGAAGCACTGCACGAGTGAAAGCAACGTGGTGCGGTGGTTCTGGCAGGCAGTGGAGGCCTTCAGTGAGGAGAGGAGAGGGCGCCTGCTGCAGTTTGTCACCGGCTCCACCAGGGTCCCACTACAGGGGTTCAAAGCGCTGCAGGGTGGGTCATGCTCTGGCTCAGAGACCACACTTGGGCCGTCACATTCAGCTTATCCATCTTCCTGATGATAGACACACAAGACCTTTCACACAGATTAGCAGAATAATTAAAGACAATTACAGGAAAGACATTGATGAAGTCTTCAGGAAACAATCCCTTCAACCTAATTATGTTGCACGTTGGGGGCCACTTTACTCATGTCTGCACATCCTGACAGGAATATTAAGGAGTAGGCCTGATGTATCTTACAGAGATTCTTTTAGGGCTGCAGCAAATGATTGTTTTCATTATCATTTGATTTGATATTTCTGTTCTTTATTCATCAACTAATTGTTTGGGCCATAAAATGTCATAAAATATAATTTTTAAATGTCCATAACCCAAAGATCTTTCATTTAAGCAGCTAATTATTGAATTTGTGAACTTCCCTGTTGTGGGACTAATAAAGGTTCGTCTTATAGATTGAACTGGGGTAAAACCAGCTAGCAGGTTCATGTCAAATATTTTAGCATCCTGCCAATAATGAATCCTTATCAAACATGCTGACAAGTGATGGTAATGATCTGTGTGTCAGAGCAGAGCAGTGATAACTAGAATGTATGTGTGTAAGGCTCTACAGGTTCTGCAGGCCCAAGGCTCTTCACCATCCATTTGATAGACGCCAACACAGACAACCTGCCCAAGGCCCATACGTGGTGAGGACATGCTCTTATCAGATGTGGCAAAAAGCTTTGGTACCCCTTCACCTTACTGGGAACAGTGTTCCATTCTTTAAGTTTGTACAACACGACCAACTTGAAAGAAGTCGTACAAAAGCCATTACTACTTGTCTCATGCGTACAATAAACAATCTTGAACAAACCTGAGGGAGTTTGCTCAAAAGTGGCCCGAAATACCAAATACATGACCAAGTTGCATTACACTATAAACAGGGCGTCATTGCGATGATCGTCTCAGAAGGCTGTGAACAGAACGTTCTTTTCCATGGCCATTTGTGTGTTAGGTCAATTTCTCTTGTCACTTTCAGTTTATTTCATTGAAAATTGTAATTTTGTTCGTTTTCCAGTGAAAGGTCACCAACGCTTTTACCAATGTATGTATCTGCATTTGTGTCTGGCGTGTGGTCACTAATGATTCTTTCGTGTCACTAGTTTTAACAGGATAGACATCCCTCCCTACGAGTCTTACGAGAAGCTCTATGAGAAACTGCTGACAGCTGTGGAGGAGACCTGTGGCTTCGCTGTGGAGTGATGAATCCACAACCAGAACCAACACACAACTGCACTTGCACTTGCACACAACTATTTGACTTTTTACATATATACATACACATAAACAAAATATCAAGTATACAGAGCAGCCAAGCATCACAAGAACACTCACAATCTCTTGCCACCTCTTCACCGCCGGACTGTTGGGGGTTAAAGGAGGAAGCACAGCAAGAGGAGGAAAAAAAATACAAAAAAGGAAAAAGAGTATTTTAAAATTTGTAAAATGTTTTGAAGAAGCATTTTTATCCTTCCGTTTTAACAAGCTATGATGTCAGTCTTGAGAATGTCTAACCTCCACCTCAGCTTTGACTCCAGTCACACTCGAATGCCTGGACAGAATCAGCCAATCACATGCGAGCGTTCACACCGAGACTGTGAGGAACAAGTTGGGACTGATTGTCTCTGTGTCTGACGTGCTGATCAATTGACTAGTACTCATGCTTCATGTTTTACCACTGTCGTGTATTAGAAGGTGTGCATGTGTTTGTGCATGTAAGACGAGAGTGTGAGCTTATAATTGTGTGTGTGTGTGTGAGACAGAGAGAGAGAGAGAGTATGTGTGTTGTCGTACTTACTACATAGTGAGGACCAAAACAGTATTTTTATTTTTTTTTTGCTACAGAGTGAGAATGTTTGGCCGGTCCTCACTTTCTGAAACATCTATTGAGGGTCAAGACTTGGGTTAGGTTACAGTTAGGCATTTAGTTCTGATGGTTGAGGTTACAGTAAGAAGCTAGGAATGCATTATGTCAACAAGTGTCCTCACAAAGAAGTACGTGTGTGTGTGCGTGTGTGTGTGTCAGGCATGGCACCCAGTTACGCTGTAAAAAATGATCAAATGAGCCTGCTCCTTCGTTTGGTTACTCTGTCTCTTCCATTAGTACCTGCGACCACTCTGATCCACTCTGACATTGTTATTTATTACTAAGTGATTACTGACCAAGCTGCTATTTGCTCTACACAGAGGCCACACTAATCTCTTCATCACCCCCTCTGCCAGAGTTGAAAGGTCAATTCACTTGCAATTCAAGTAATCCACAAAGTGGGTTTTATTGAATTTGTTACATTTTAACATTTATATATTTTTGTGGACAAATAATCTTGTGAGTGTGTGGAAATGTTATTAGTGTGCTGGTGTTTTTAAATACCGTTTTGCAGTTAGTGAAGTCAAAGGGAGTGACTGCCCCAGCGCTGATTGTAAGCTCCAGCTCTACTGACATTAGGAAGAGGCCCGTGGATGTTTTTCAAAACAAGCAACAGAGACTGGAAGAGAGTCCACATCAGAATTCTTTGACTGCGTGTGACATGTAAACCCTTTATCAGCCTTTCATTCATGTTTCATCATCCATTTCACCAAGTTTTTCTTTTCTTTGTGGCCCTGATATTTTCATGGCCATCTCTTTTTTCCGTGGCTTGAATGTCAGGAAAAAGTAGTCACTGTCCAACATGAACGAACAGTCTCTTGAATTCTCCAGAGAAGTGAAAAAAGAAAACCTAAATGTTGAGTGAATAAAATGGAAAAAATTGGCATGTGCTGTAGATTGAGGACTGGTTAAGCTGTATCATTTCAATCTACATTTTCTAGGTTTTGAGTTCACTGTGTAATGGATGCAAGGTTATTGTAACTTACTATGTCCTAAACATTTATGAAAAAATACCATGTAAATAAGATTATATTAAACTGAAAATATTGTCTCATGTTATGTGCAGTTGTTCTATGTATGCGGATGTGTGTGCAGTGATAGTTGAGTATGACTGCTGAGTAATGTATAAACAAATATTCAATACAAATAATAAACGAATGTTTGGTATACATAACCAGAAACAAATATTTCTCAAACCTTTTCAGCAATCTATAAACAGGGCTGCGCAGTGGTTAACGCTGTCGCCCCATAGCAATAATATTCTGAGTTCGATCCCGGGGCCTTTCCGTGCGGAGTTTTTATGTTCTCCCTGTGAACATGCAAACTCCCTGGGTGGGCTCTTAAAGACATGCAGCTTAGTTTCTGTAGGAGTTAGTGTGAGTCTGTGTCGTTGTTTGTCTACATGTCACCTGTTCAGGGTGAACTCCCCCCGCGACCCTATTCAGGAGTAAGCGGTATAGATAATGGATGGATGGATGCTTTGGGTGTTTTCTGAATAACCTATATTATTTTTCTATCACAAAGTATGATTTCATTGTTTTATTAACGACTTTGACAACTGAATATGATACAGTTTAGGTAAGAAGGAGAACTCTCCACAGTTTTTATTAAATCCAAGGTTTATTCTCAAAGTAGACGTAACCATTCGTTGAACCTCTGACGAGAGCCTCTCCTTCAGGCTACATTTCCCATAAGCCCATTGGTTTACGTAGCGGAAAGTACCGTACGCGTGACGTCACGGCTGTTCTTGTTTTGGCAATTTGTTTCCATATTCCCGTATTGTCAGCCCACCAAGAAACAGTTTTTTGTGATTATTCAACCTGAAGCCGCGGTAACATACATCTCTTCATGTGTATTTTTATACGTAGGTCTTAGACTGAGCATAGTTGTTTGAAGCAATGTTATGAATAGAAATCCTAACAGTAGTGAGCTAACTACTGGCTTGCTAGCCAGCCAAGCTAATTAACATCAGCGGCTAGCTTAACGTTAGCTGATAGCAGTGGTTTGTTGTGTATGTGCGGAAATGATCTAGTTCTGTTCTGACACGTTTGTTTTCAAACTTTTCGATTAGCGATATTACAGTGTTACGGCTAATGTCAAGATGATGTAGAAAACCCCAGTTTATATAGCTAGAATTGCAACATTGCCAGCTTATTCCAATGTTAACGTTAGCATCTACTGTTTAACAACATGTAAGATTTAGTACAGGGGGAGGCTAGTGCCGGGTTAGTGAGTAAAGCTAATAGAGAATGTTTTGATAAATATGCCTGTGGGATTTGGTTGGCCAACACACCAGACTTTCGATTAGCTAAATTATCGTGTGCAGTTTTAAGTTTCTGGGTAATTTAAAGTGATCAAATTTAAAATAAAAACCCCTTTACATTTCTGATTTGCCACGAGCTTCCTTTTTGTTAAGTTCTCTTTTGCTAACGTGCCAGCTGAGTTGGTCACGGGATAGGTTTTTTTTTTATTGGCTTTGTGTGACAGGATTATTTCTGGTAATAAGGTGAAGTCCAATCCTTCTTGAGTTATGAGAAGTCGTTAATTTTAAAGTGAAGATATTGAATTCCAGGGGAATACCAGCACTTTAACTGTGTGGGTGTGTGCGTGCGTGTTTGGAGAATAGATGGACTTGACTGAGCAGTGACTGTGGGAGCTGGCAAATGAACTATCATAATGGCAGATGGAGGAAGTGATGACGATGTCATTCACCTGGCAAGTTTCAACATCCACCGCAGCCAAGGTGAGACACACCTTCATATCTCCACTCACATTCATACAGTCTGCTTCAAAAGTATTGGAACAGCAAGGTCACTTCATTTGTGTTTGCTCTACACTGAAGTTCAAAAGTTCAATATGAAACCAGAATTTCACCTTTTACTTCCTGTTATTCACATGAAGATATATTAAGAACACAGAAAACGTGTATGACAAAATATGTATGAAATCACCCAAACCTTTAGTGAGGAAACGTACTGGAGCACAGACCTTGATTATTTGCTATACTGAAAATGTTTTGCAGTGATTCAGTGAGGTAACCAGGAATAAAAGAATGTCTCACATTTGCTAAATGTATTTAGAAAAGTTTCCAAAACTCAGTTAAGTTGCAAAATATATACAAAAACAGCAACATGCAAGAAGTTGTGCAAATGCCAGTACCATCTCAGTGCTCAGTTGTTGTTGGCTTGTCTCATTCACACGTTTGACTTTTTCCCCATTACACTTGCTATTTGTTTGTACTTATGGTTCCGCTTACAGGAGTTCATTTCCACTGGAGAGTTGGAAAAGCTCCAGTGGCCTCACATAACAAAGAATATTCAAAAAATGAATAAAATAAGTTAAATTCAAGAACTTTGGTTGCCGACTTTACAGAATGTTGGCATGTTCAGTAAACAAGCAAGTTAAAATGTAAAGAGCTTTTTCACACATTTTGTCACTTAAAATCATAAAAGTCAAACAGGACACAAACTTCTAATACTCACTGTCCCCATGCACTGTACTCAGAGTGCCAAAACCTGAATGTGTCTGTGCAGGCTCTCATTCCCGTCAGAGGGAACTCATCACTATTTCTGATGACTCGGATGAGGAGCCTGTAGCTCTAGTACCTGGCAGTCCAGTTTTAGTCCCAGATGATGCGGATGATGATGACATCAGAATAATGGAGGTGACTTGCACACGATTCTTAAATCTTAGATCATAGAGACCTGTTATTTAAATCCTCTATTTTAAGTTGTAGGCCAGTGTAAACATGTTTTGTTATATAGCTGCGATGTTATACTGCTGTCAGAAATTGCTGTCAATAACATGAGCATCAGAATTTACAACAGAAGTAGCATCTTAACCATTTGTCTCTTTTGACTCCTGTGTTTTCCTGCAGCAGTTGACTCCTGCTCGAAGACATGTGATTCGACCAGCAGCGAAATGGAGTGTGGCCTCTCCCAACCTAATTCAAGTTGTAGGTCATAGTAGCGCAATGTCTGGGGTTCCCACAGAGGACCCTGGCTCTGTCCCCTCTACCTCCAGAGATGCCAAGGCCAACTCCTCCACAGTAAGGCCAGCCTTACAAACACAGATAGCAGTGCACACCAGCACTTCTGGACACACACAGCCACAACCTGGCCCTTCATCATGTGGGCGGTCTCAGCTGAAACCTAACACACACTCACAGCAACAGAACAGCACGTCAGCACAGGCAAATGTGCAGCTCCACCCAGTTTCTTCTACCCAAACCTTGTCTACCTCCAAGGGTGTCAGTGCCGTTTCATTCAGAGCACCTATACCACAGCCACACACTGGCACAGCACACTTACCCATGGAGTCCCCGGCAAGTATCTCTGCCAGCACCACACGCTCCGCTTGTGCGGTTGCAGTGATTGCATCAAGTGCTGCTACAAAGACTCAAGAAAAGGCTAGTACAAGTACTCTTACACAAGGCAGTCCTCAGGCCAGTACTTCATCTGCACAGTCCCACACTGGGACAGAGTCTCAGCCTGGCACATCCACACAGCTCCAGGCCAGTGGGACTCCAGCCCTTCAGTCCCAGCACAACCATGTGAAGGAGGTGAAGCTAGTTGTTCTTCCCCAGCAGCCAAGCATCAAAGCTTCTGCTCTGATCACTCAGAAACAGCACCAGCCTCAGCTCTGGACCCAGAAGCTGTTGCAACCTGTGTCAGTCAATCGGATGCAGGGCAATCTCATTCAGATTGAGCCACAGGCCTTGGCCCATGTCCCTGCCCATCCTCCAGTCCAGCCCCCTCAACACCTCCAGGTGATGCCGGTGATCCCCAATGCAGTGCTGATAGCTGCAGCCCCAGAGAGGCTGGGACCTCCAGAGGCAGGGCACCGGATCATCCTGGGGAGCCAGGCTCCTGGGTCCTCCACCACAGGCTGGTGCCTCCAGTGTGGCTCCACTAGCCTGGAACCTGAATATCAGGGATCCTAATGTGAACGCTAACCCTCCTCCTCCAGTTCCTCCAGCTCCCTTAGTTTCAGTCCCCAACAATGGAGGAGAAGCTCGTCTCATCCTGGCCGCAGCTCCAAACTCTGAAAGGGTCAATCCAGCCCCTGGTCTTGTCATGGTCCCTCCTGCGCCAGGGGATGTTCCCCGAATCGAGGATGCCAGGCCTGGTCCATCTGCACCACGAGAGGGACCAGAGCAGCAGCCCCACATCAGAGCCCTTGTCACTGGTGTTGTGAGTATTACAGTACTTGAGCAGAGCCATACTTGTACATCTGTTGCATCTGAGACATACTGAGTTCACACATAGATTCATGTCAAGTTAAATGATTTTAATTGCAGTGTAATTTTGTCTTCTTCTGCCACCTCCTCCTTCTCAACTCACCTCCCCCTATTCGTCTGTGTTCTTTCGATTCCGTGCATGTTCCCCACAGTTGGATCTGTTCCCTGATGTGCAAGAAGCCTATGTAGCAGAACTGATCCAGACGAATAATGTCAAAGACTTGAATGTGTAAGAAGCACCTCTGTTTTTTCTCCAGTATTTAATACAGGGCTCCTATAAGTGATTTAGCTGCAAAATAAAATGGTTTTAGCTCCTAAACTGTGACGGCGTTCTGGGTTACAGAGTAAACTGAACTGTTTTTAGTCAGCTGGTGGTCTGATAGAGCAGCATTTTATGGTACAACATAAAATATCTGACTTTTTATAGACCTGGTGGTTTAATTGAGAAAAGCTTTGATAGACTAAAATAATCTCCAGTTGCAGTGCTAGTTAAAATACAGATGGACATATTTGTAGTTTGTACTAAAAACTGTGTCTTTTCATTTTTACAACATTTCCACATTTGTCTTTAACCTTAGTTTGTCTTTTTTAACGAAGTCATGGAGTTGGGTCTTTTTCTGTACCTTGTAAATTGAATTACATCTCTGTTATAGGTTAAAGGTTTGTTTTTTTAAGGTTAAGATTTTAGCTGTAAATGTTACCTTGTGTTTAAAGGCTGAACGATACCTAGCACAAAATGAATTAGGTAGATGTTTCATTGGCACAGATGTTAAAGGAAGCAGTACAAAATCTGTGTGTGTGGACTGACAGATACTGAGAGATGGTCATTGTACATATGTGTGACTGTGTGAAATGTCCATGCAAGCTTGTTTACATGCAGCCTCCTCCTGCTGTGTTCTAGTATCTGTAACCTGCTGTTGGAGAACCCAGAGTATCCTCGGAGGGAATCTGCAGCAGCCACTGCAGCTCCCACCAGCATCCTACTGGAGTCTGTAGACACCCAGGCAGAGGTGTGTGTTAGACCTGCAAGAGCATGAACTTGTAAGAGGTGTTATTGATGAGTGCAGTTTGTCAGTAAAAAGAAGAAGCTGTGTTTAAACTTGAGTTCAGTTAACCTAGGATTTAGCAGCTTTGGCCAGTGTGTAACTGTGAACTGTTGTGTTCAGTGTGTGTGTTCAGACTGTTTCACCATCATTCAAACTTCTTGGGATCTGTCACTAGATTGTGACTCCATACCTGTGATTAGTGGTGGAGCTCATTGGGGAACAAGCTTAAGTTGTAAGCAGATGATTGATATACTGAAACATTATGTGAGCGTTTCAAAAGGGGGCAGCGTGACTATAACTGTAAAGTTTACAGGGTGCACAAACACTGAATGAGAGCATAGAGCAAGAAACAAGACAACCCCACCTCAGACTCTCTGGCTTGTTCACACACAACGGCAAACAGTGCACAGACAGACCTCTTCAGCCTCCTGATTATTCAGCTGTCCTCCAACCCAGTGGGGGAAAAGCCTCCTGCACTTTGATAATGTCTTTTTCTATTTGCTACTTTGATGGCAGTTGAAAAAGCTCTTCATGTCAAATATCCGAGGGTCTTGGTATTTGTGTTCACACTCTTGCTGTGGCTCTTTTCAGGTGACCGAGGATCTGTTTGACTACTCCAAGCTGGGCACAGTGGGACCCGAGGCTGTGATGCAGGCTGCCGACTTGCTCATGGCAGATTTCAGGATGCTCAGCTGTCAGGACATCAAATGGGCCCTCAATGCTCTGAAGGGACACTATGCAATCACACGCAAGGTGGCTGTGGCCTCTTTCAGCGCGTTCACAGGCTCAGTGCTCAGATCTGATCTTTTTCTGTTCATGGTTCACATTCCTCTTTGTAAGTTTAGTTTCTTTTTTTATTCGACAGGGACAATACAGAATGACATTTCTGTAAATATGCCAGAGTTGGCAAAAATGTTCATTTGTAGTCCTTGAATACAAATAAAATACAAGTCACAATAAAATCTCAGATAGTTAATAATGACATGTATCCAGCTCCATTCCGAACACCGCTGAGCTCCTAAACTGCCTCACGTGCACAGTTTCAAATGTGAGGCACGTGTGAACAAGAACAACAACAGTAATGTCATTTGTACGACGGGCAACTTGCACAATTTCCTCCCAGACTGTTCAGCTGCAACATGTTCCCTCTGCCTTGGTGCGATCACAAACGTGAAACAGCCTGGTGAATCCACTGACCCTCCACCACTGTTGTTGCTCTCCTCCATGTTTCTTTTTACTGGTCTGATCAAATGATTTCCAATGAAATCAAATGAATTCTGATCTGAACTTTCTGACAGAGGTTTCGTGTTCAGAAATGGAAGCACACAGGGAAGTGGCCCGATCTCAAAACATCAGATTTGGTTTGTTCACACGTCCGTGACAAGATCAGATCTGATTCACGTGTACTTTGAACACAGCTTTCTCTACTATGTTGCTGTCGTTTTCAGCTAAGCGTTACTCTTCTTCTCTCCCGCTCCCTCAGGCCTTAAGTGAAGCTCTAAAGAAGTGGCAAGATTCAGGCGACCCCTCAGGAAAGAGACGACGGAGCAGGGCCTCCTCTGAGCGCTGCTACGTCGATTTCCATTTTGAGCACGGTGAGCAAATGTCGTGATTTGTTGACGAAACCTTTCTGCTACTGCGTCGCTAAATGAATACAGGATTGAATGCAGTCGGACTCTGACTCACTTGGTTCCCTCTGTCCATCAGGTTCAGTGAAGTTTGACAAGAGAATGTTTTTCTTGGAAAATGACCGTCGCTACTGCAGGGTGTACAGCAACCTGGAAGCTTCTGTGCGGAAGGAGCTGACCTTCTATCAGCAGAAAGCCAAGGAATGGGCAGAGGTGTGTAAACTGTGCACGTACAGTTTGCTGTTATACTGTATTTACAGATGCTGTCCAGTGAGTTTATCACAGGGAATGTTTTAATGTGTGCAGATGAGTTTGAGCTTTGTTAGGAACTTGCTTCATTGAGCTTGTGGTGCTGGTAAGATAGTCCTGCATTCAACACAGGTTACTAGTAAAACTGTTACGTAAATAAGAACATATTAAGCTACAGCATACACCACACACGTAACAGGTAAGTTAGTCATATTAAAATCCTGAGCTGTGCCACTTTTAAAGCACTCCAGGTTTAAAGCAGAGTTCTTTAAACCTCCTCCCAGAAGACGTTTGCTCACGCAGGGCGGAGCTGCTCAGTGAGATTCATGTCTAACCGTGTTCACAGAGGGAGCAACCATTAATTTTAAACCCAGTTGAACTGTTTTCTCTTACGCAGCAGCAGTAGTCCACGTACCCAAACCACATTATCACCTTCTCCACAACAGTTTTGTAGAACTGGACCAGAGCTTTCCTTCAAATATTCTGAACCTCTGCAAAAAGCTGAATCTTTGATGAGCCAATTTTTAGATAAAAAAAAAAAGTTGCTTTCCAGTTTAACATCTACTGTGATTTTCATGCTGTTTCACACTTTCAGCAGATTTCTAAAGTGTCTGCTCCTGGTTTTTGTGGCAGTCTGGGCACCACTTGTACAGTAGAGGCTCACCAAGTGAAGGGGAGTGTGTAGCTGTAACAGGCTGTGATCAGTCAGTCAGGTTTACCTTCTGTCAGAGGAGACTAAGAATACCCTCTCATGAGAAGGTGTCTGACAGTCTCTTCCCTGTGTCTTGTCCCTCCAGCATGAGGACTTCCTCTTGGCTCTGCAGGTCAATGAAGATGAATATAAGAAGGTACAGCAGGAACCACACATACATGGACCAAAGTGATGTAACCAGTGCAGTGAAAACACTGCTGCTTCGTTTGGCTTATTTTGTCTATAAATGGTTTCTCAGTTAAAACGTCAGAAAATCTGCCAAACATAATGTATATAGATGTACATATATTTATAAAAGCTGTCTCCCTCTTCCTCATTCATTTCCTGTTTGAAGGCACATACTGTTTATTCTTATTCCCATTTTTATTGCTGTTCTTTTTATTTTTTTCTCATTGTTATTTACTATTCCTGTTGCCCACAGCGCATTGAGAGTCAAATTCCTGTATGTACACACATACGTAGCAGTTAAAGAAGATTCTGATAACACAATGTACAACAGCTGTTGATTTAGCATCTACTTAAACATCACAGTGCACTTGATAAACAGATGGAGTCTCTGTATGTGGTTGTAAACCCTGTAGAGACGGTCGGGGTGGTGTTCAGGGTGGGATTTGTTAGTCATTCATGGGGTTGTTGCTCAATTTACTGTTTAATTTATGAGGTCACACTGAGTAGCTTTAATGTTGGGGCCCCATATTTAAATAGGTCTGGCAGTTACGCCCGGTATGAAGTCAAACTTGACAATGTAACTGCTGTCTGTGAGGTTTTTATTCCCTGTAGAGTCATTTACTTTGTGTTCTTGTATCTTTATAGGTTAGTTTTACTTCTTAATCCCTTTTTAATTCAATGAGGCACTTTCAGTAATTAATGGAAAAGTTTGAAGGGCACAGAGCTACAAAGAGTACGACTATGAATCAAAGAGTACGACTATGAATCTGTCTTTCTGCAGGACGGCCAGCTGATCGAGTGCGGCTGTTGCTTTGGAGAGTTTGCGTTTGAGAAGATGACGCAGTGTTCAGACGGTCACCTGTTCTGTAAAGAGTGCCTGGTCAAATACGCTCAGGAGGCAGTGTTTGGCTCCGGGAAGGTGCGGACACACACACACACACACACACACACACACATGTTCCCACATGCAGTAGGACCGACCTGCTAATGTTTCCACACATCTACAAATGACTGTTCCTAAAATACTGGTAGGAACGCAGCATTCAGCCACGCTGCCTGAGGTTTACTGGTGGTTTTGAATGTTAAATTTCATTTTCTCCAGTTGCATGCACTGTGTGTAAGACAGATTTCCAAAGTAAAAGATCATTTTTATGGTAATGACTGTGATTTACCTCCAGTGGACATCACGTGTGCCCCCGGCTGCAGGCTGATGTTCATACTGCAGCACCGTGTCATGGGACATGCACAGCAGTAATAATACAATAATATAAGGCTTTAAGTGTGTGACAGGCTTTGCATGTTGCCATGTAAAATATACTGACGTTATCAGATTATTAGGAACACCTGTTCAGTCTAATGCACTCCAGTACAACAGCCGTGTGAGAGTCTCTCTCTCTGGTTTTGGTTCATGTTTATGGGGCTGTGTTTCAAGGATCTGTTGGATTATGTTCAGTCCAGCTCCATACACGAGGGAGACAGGATTTTTTCAGACTGCACTGTTGCGAACCCACCTGTCCACTGCTGGTTACCTGCGTGTGTTCACGTTGCAGTCGGAGCTCAGCTGCATGGAGGGGGGCTGCCCCTGCTCCTACCCAGTGTGTGAGCTGGAGAAGGTGCTACCGGAGAACATACTGTGTAAATATTATGAAAGGCAGGCGGAGGAGGCGGTCGCTGCCACTTGTGCTGATGAACTAGTACGGTAAGTGTTTGTGTGTTATTGTCATTTTATATGTCATTGTTGTTTTTGTTGTTGTTATTATTGTTCTATGTTTATATGTCATTTTATAACCAAGGCCTGTGTGTGTGTGTGTGTGTCAGCTTCTGAGTTGTGAGGATTTGCTGCTTTTTGCCTTCTTCATTAGGATGTTTGGAGGTATCAGCTTGTTACAGACCAAACCATGAATCTGTTGCTTCAGAAACTCATCAGCAGATGAATCAACAATTGAAATAATCTTCAGTTGCAGCTCTAATCTTTTCTGATGGGCGGAAATCTTTTAATATTTCAGCTGCAGGTTCAGCCTGATTCAGGAATCTGGAGTGGAGTAGTGACATTTTACTGACAGCTGCTGATTGTTGACTGGACTCTTTGGTTTTTACTGTCACTGTCCATGTCGTACATTTTTAACTTGGTGTCTAGTTGCCGCGTTTGCATAAGGGACCTGAAATAACAGCTCTGTGGTTCCTCACAGCACAATGTTTTTGTCTGATTAGCGTCTCATGTACAGCCGTATCATACATTTCCTCTCACCTTCACCTCTTAACCCTCCTTCCTCTCGGTTTTTGCAGGTGTCCGTTTTGCAACTTCCCAGCCTTGTTGGACAAAGATATGTCTCTGTTTAGCTGTCCCAACCCGCGGTGCCGCAAGGTCAGTCCTACTCTGTGGATTTCTTCAGTTCATTAAACATGTTGAGGCTCTGGGGAGGCCAGGCTGTTGTATGGCAGCAGAGCAGAACAGAAAAAGATTAGAGTCAAATGTGGGCTAATGCTCTTTCTTACACTGTGTAAACGGTGTAATCACAGAGCGAAATGATACTGTACCAAAGAGATTGTGCCTTGATTTATATTCAAAAGGAGACATCATGAATAATTCAGTATGTCGTGACAGAACAGTCTGGTGTGTGTGTGTGTGTTTCATAAACCACCCCTGAGGCCTGAACAAAAGTCAGATCAAAATAAGTGAGAAGAAAGACTGACGAGCTGTGTTTGGAGATGATAAAATGGTCCCATGTGACGAGGTCGCCCCTCTGTGTTTATCTCAGTGGCCTCCTCCCTCTGTCTGAGGAATGCAGGGGGAGGTGTTGCTTCATGTCTGCCAAGGCCGTCACGTGGATTCCAGTCGAAAATCTCCATTATTGGGGGAAACACACACACACACAGACACAAACCTACGACCTGTGGTGTGGTGGGGGTGAGTGTGAGACATGAGACAAAAGAGACAAAGACACATCAAGAGATTCACAGTCAGTCTGACTCAACACACACACACACACACACACACCCTTCTTCTGTTGCTACATTCCTGTAATGGTGGAAAGAGATGGACTTGTGTCAACTCTCCAACAAAATGAGTGTCTACACACACACACACACACTGTGGTTCAGCCCTCCTGTAACTGTGGACTAAGTAGATGATGGTTTGTTTTACTTGTTGTGATGCCTTTTTCAAACAGGTGTTTCTGAAACACTCACTAATCCATTAATAAGCTAACATGACAAACATCTGGTGCCAAATGGGTTTTTTTTCTGTCTTGTCATAAAATCAATGTTGTTGGATTTTAAACTTTTACTCAGACAAAACCAGGTGATGGGCTTGTAACACTTAATGGTGCTCACTGTTTTCTGGCATCTTGTAGATTAGACAACTAACAGCTCAGTGCAGATGAGGATGGTCACTGCTCCTCATGCAGTTCTTTCCATTGACCTGTAGATGGCGCCAGAGCCACACAGCTGCACCCCATTACATACTGATACACACCCGCAGATACAAAAGAGCCAGGCCTGCTCCAGATTATCTTCTGGTAACTGCAGATGTAGGTCAGCTTCATAACAAACTTAGTGTGTCATTGTAAACTGTTGTGTTTCTGAGTTATGAAAGGAGCAGCGTGGCCCCTGGTTCTTATCTACATTAGCACAGTTGTACAGTCTCCGGCTCTGAGCAGGGAGGCGCTTCATTATGTAAGTGACACACGTCTGTGAGCCCACCCGTCTTCTTCCACACTGCTGCCCTATTGGCTGGCTGCACCGTCCAGGTCACATTAATTATCATTAGGAATTATTGTTGTATACAGCTTGGAAGTGCTAAACTTCTGATGTAATTGCCGTTGGCTCTAAAGGTGATGTTGAACCTGTTACTCAGGGTTAAACTGAACTGCAGAAACCCTGGTTGGGTTTATGTCACTTCCTCCCTGTGACGCTCAGAGTCAGTTGCAACAAAAGCCACCTGCCCATTAAAAAACACACCCAATGCAGTGGCAGCATATAGAGCAGACGCTGTGGACGCACATTCACATCTCCTCTTACTCGGTAGCAAGTGGGATAGTGTCAGAGGAGGGGGATAAGCTTTTAAAGCTTTCAGGTGAGGAAGCAGGTTCTAACTGAACAGTTAGCTCCACCTCATGCTTTTCCCTTCTTGTCTTTGTCTTTAGGAGAGTTGTAGGAAGTGCCATGTCCCGTGGAAGCAGCATGTTGGGAAGACGTGTGAGCAGGTGCTGGAGCGGGACGAGATCCGCATGAGGGTGCTCTTGTAAGTGGCTCAACAACACGTCGCCCCTTAGCCTTAGCAATCAAGTTATTTTATTCCATTTTTACCTTTATTATTTAAGGGTAGTTTCACTGAGAGCAACGTCATTGTTGTTCATATCCCTAGTAGAACTCCTGTGCTGATGAATAACAGTGGCACTCAGATCCATTTTAGTTTTCATCCTAGTTGTGTCTTTTTAAACTTAAAATGTTGTGTTCACACCTGCTGGACTTGAGGGCACCACGGTGGTGTTTGTGTGGGAGGGGGAGATGGCTGCTTCACCACTAGCTACCTGCTCTTAGGTCACCGTTCTGTGGAAGGCGAGTCTCATACATGCTTTGATGGGATTTTCTCAAGTTATTTTTGGTGACAGAGAAGCGCTCCCTCTCCCTCTCTAACTATGAAGTCACATCGCTGCGTAACCATGGAAGGGCATCTACATGATCCATGTGACCAGTGTATACAGTCGTCAGACCCTATATTGTAAGGAAGTAACCATGATGTTAGTCATACATAGGACTGTATGTCAAAGGGGGTTGACCCCTGTTTTTTCATCCAGTGCCAGTGAAGCTCCACTGGACACGTTGACGCACTCGATGGTTTGCTGTATCTCTTGTTGTGTTGTGTGCTGTGTGAAAAAGCAACTCCAGACAAAGTTTGGACTTGATTCCGGAAACGTTGTCTGGGATCAAGTGTTAAAACAAAGAATGTCTTCTTTTTTATCTCCCTCCATGTGCTGCAGCGAGGAGCGGATGACGGCGGCTAGGGTGAGAAAGTGTGTCAAGTGCGGGACGGGTCTGGTCAAGTCGGAGGGCTGCAACCGGATGTCGTGTCGCTGTGGCAGCTTCATGTGCTACCTCTGCAGAGAGCCCATCAGCGGCTACAACCACTTCTGTCAGCACGCCCGCTCTCCTGGCGCTCCCTGCCGCCACTGCCGCAAGTGCTCCCTCTGGACCGATCCCACGGTGACTCTTTAACTCATTCTTTATGCCACCTAGTTTAAGTATGTGGTCATTCAGCCACTAAGTCAGTAAAGTGCAGTCGGTGCACATCCAGTGCCAGGTTCTGTCAGTGGTCCACACTCTCAGAGATGTTCACTAACTCTCCCTTTGACTCCATGAACGCCCACAGTGACCTGGCCACAGTATCACTGGCAACCAGAAGCAGCAATTAGTCCCTGAGCTGTTAATGAGCTGGAGCAGCTCCAGCAGATCCAGCCAAGAGCCGGTCGCGACAGCAGCGCCAAGAGATGGATAAATCCTGGGGAGGGTCGGTCAGAGGGGTCGGCTGCCTTCTGTCCTGTGTAGCTCTTCCTTGTCCAGAATGAAAAAGAAGGAAGGCCCACTAGCTGTCCTGTAATTCCAAGCTTTATTTTTTAAGTTGGAAAGACACGGGTGTCTGACTAGTACAACATGTGAGTGTGTGTAGAGAACACCGGCTTCTCTGAGGACAGACTACACTCCCACCCACCTGACGAGCTCTGACCTCTCTGGAGACACTTTTCTCCAGGCTGAGACACAACAAGGCTGCACGTGTAGGCTCTGTACATGTAGTGTCAATAGTATTATTGTTAAGGTAGTACTGCTGTTGTGATTGTGTGAGGTGTAACAGTGTAAAGACTGCTGAATTTCTGTAAAGCTGTCACACTTAATTATCTGCTTCCCTCAGGAGCTGCAGTAGTGATTTGACTTAAAAATAAAACGGCAAGACAGTTGCTTTTTTTTCATCTTTTTAGACTAACAACTTCTGTATGTTTGTGTTCCTGCAGCAAGATGACGAGCGAATCATCCAGGAGATCCAGAAGGAAGGCGAAGCGGAGCTGAACAAGAAGTCTGCAGGTCTGTGTCAGCCTGTTCACAAGGTTCAAGCATCAGCCGGCAGCAGTTGAGGGAGTGTTTCCTGTGTTTGGTTTGTCTGAATGTGTTTGTGTAAAGTCAGTACGTCAGGTGTGAGGGTGTGGGGGTGTGGGGGTTATACTGAAGCTCCAGGGAACTTTTTTCAACGTGCTGCAAAACTGGACGGGCCTAAACAGCCGGTTCAGCGATAAATTTTCTTCTTCTTCTTCTCAGATAATTCAGGGAAGCGGGTCGGCCCTCCTCCAGAGCCCATCGCCAACTCCAAGAAGCCGCGTGTGGGTCCCCCAGAGAATCCACCCAACGCCAACCCCCCAGCACCTCCTCAACAACAGGCGGTACAGGGTGCCCCGTTTGGCCGCTACCCTCCAGCTCCACCCCAGGGCAGGATGTACCAGCAGGTGATCATGGCCCGGCTGCTGCCCCCTGCACCCTATGTGCCCCCCCTGCAGCACCTGCCACCCCTTAACCACAACAACAACCACCACAACCCTCCTGTTAACCATCATCATCACAACATGGATGTGATGGACCTGCCCATGCACTATGGACCCCCACACCGCTACTACAGACGCTTCTAACGCACACTCTGCCACGAGTGTGTGTTAACTCTGGGGTCATCAGGTGGTCCTGACACACACATGCTCACTACAGTTAGACTTTTCATTTCAGTGCTGATTCGGCACCTGTTCCCGGTTTGCTTTTTTCCATTTGTTCTCTCCGTTGTCATGGCTCCTGTTTGCTCACACTGATGTCAGAGCTGCTACTCAGCTTGTTCTTTTGCTTTCAGATGATAAGACACTGAAATGAAAACGGCACCTGTAGAACATTTTGCCTTGTCTCACTAAACCTGGAACTTCAGTAATGAAGTGGACCCCCCCCCCACAGTACATGTTCCTTTTCTATCCTTGTCTGATTAACCATTTGCATTGAACTAATCAACGGCTGAGACTCTTGACAGAATATATTTGCAGTTTATACAGATATTTTTGCGTACATAAAAAAAAAAAATTAGCATTCTCTTGTGTATCTTTTGCTTAACATGTGTGAGACAATAGAGTTTTTTAATAAAGTTTTCTGTTTGTGTTTCCTTGAGATTCTCCTTCATACAAGTTTTCACTTAACTATTTGAGATTTTATGCTTCTATATGATCACGACTCTCATACCTGGAGACGTCTGAGTCGGACCAGTCTCCCTGGTCTCATGCAGGAATAAGGTGCTGACTCGTGAGTCCTCAGCCCCAGGACAAAGCCCCAGTCACATGATGGAGTGGCTGTTTTCCCTCCATCACGGCGTAGCAACAGTAGTTGTAGACGTGTTCATGTTTTAATTAATAGTGAGAGAGTAAATGTTTTTGGCTGTCAGACATTTTGCCATAGCTTATTTATCATGGCAGCTCTCTAACATGTCTGGGTCTGTCAGGGTCTGTTACAAATCGGTGAGGTGGACTGCTTTTGGTACATTGGAATTTAGAAATGCATCAGTGAGATGAGAAAACTGATTTGCCAGATATTATCAAAAAGCATATTCTTAAAATAGTTATCGGTTAAAAGTTTGACTGTGAAGATAAAGTTGTATCTACTTTGGTATAAGATTTTATTCATATCCAAGTTTCTAGTTCTGCTGTTTATGCAGCTAGTAAAGCACCTCAGACTCGTTATATATGAAAAGTGCCCTATGGATAAACCGGCCTGGCCTTGAGGTATAGAAGTGGTATGTCAGTGTGAAAACGGCTCCCTCTAGTGGTGGTTCTGTGTGTGAAACATTCTGCCCCTGTGTCTCAGCGTTGCCTCAGCTCGTCCGGATCTGCTCAGTGTCGTCCTTTCTCCTTCTGGAAGCCACTGCCCAGTGTTATTACACAACTGTCATCTGATGCGTGGAGTACAACGGAGTAAGAATGTCTGATAATATGTTTATTCTCAAGTTGCTCGTGTTCGTTTTGCGTCCATGTTCTGTTCGATTTGGCCAAATCACAATGTCTGTGTGTAGAACCTGAATGCTTTCATTGTTACTGTATGGTGTTGTGTTTAGGTTTGCAGCGCATTAATTGGCTTGATGTAGTATGATGTGCGTGCTACGCAGCCGTGCACTAGGCTGCATGTTAAGGAGGCACCCAGCAGGTGTAGTCAGCGGCGTGGCCAGGCTGCACATAGTGTTCTCAGCCGATAGAACAATAATATACAAAATACTGTATTTTTGTCCTCCTCAGCTACATACATGAGAGGATCAGAATATTAGGAACACCTCAAAACATAATGTAGTCCAGTACAACAGCAACTTTAACTACGACCTTGATAAATAACATAAAATTGAATTTATACATTAAAACTGGAGCATTTTGAGCTTCATAAACATGTTAAGGCTGAAGTGTTGCATTGAATTGCATACAGTTGTACAGGTGTACCTAATAAAGTGGCCAGTCACATTGCTTGTAAATTATAAGCAAGTTTAATAAAGGTCATTTGCTTGTCACCAATCGTTCCTGACCTTTGACCTTGAACAGAAACCTGATTCTGACCTTTGAGTCTTAAGTTTGAGGAACCCTGTATCCAGGAGATCCAGAGGGAAGGTGAGGCGGAGCTAAACACGTGTGCATGTCTGTGCAGCTTGTTCACAATCCTCTTGGTTACACACATACAGAAGCTCAGTGCAGATGAGGATGGTCACTGCTCCTCATGCAGTTCTTTCCATTGACCTGTAGATGGCGCCAGAGCCACACAGCTGCACCCCATTACATACTGATACACACCCGCAGATACAAAAGAGCCAGGCCTGCTCCAGATTATCTTCTGGTAACTGCAGATGTAGGTCAGCTTCATAACAAACTTAGTGTGTCATTGTAAACTGTTGTGTTTCTGAGTTATGAAAGGAGCAGCGCTCTGCTCTGTGCTGCAGAAGGTTGTGTCAGGATGTGCGTCTGTGGATGCTGTGGTGTGTGTTGTCTGGAGAGTCTGTGTTTCCATCTCTGGGGTAGAAACCCAGATGTCAGGACGTCTGTCATTTCTATGTGTGTGCAGCTATGTTTAAAAACGTGGCCCCTGGTTCTTATCTACATTAGCACAGTTGTTGTACAGTCTCCGGCTCTGAGCAGGGAGGCGCTTCATTATGTAACTGACACACGTCTGTGAGCTGTGAGCCCACCCGTCTTCTTCCACACTGCTGCCCTATTGGCTGGGTGCACCGTCCACTCCCCTCGTAGCCGTCTCTCACTGGTTAGACACACTTCATCCTCTGTTTTTAATGTGGCCCAGATCAAGTTCGACCCAGATTCTCCTCCCTCTGACCTACTCACACACGAGCCGATCCCAGTATATTCCACATGTTATGAGGATGACTGGACAGGCTTGGGTGTGACAGCTTCATGAAAGCAGAGGACTGTAGCATGCAGGCCGCTGCAGAGGTGCCACATTATATATATATATATTGTTTTTCACTATTCTTTTTAGGCTTAAATTTCATTTACAGCAGGAAATATTTATATTTTGCCGCTAAAACCAGCCAGTGTTGCACAGTTTTGCATGAAAAGTAACAAAAATAGTCTTAGTCTAATAGCTGCAGATTTTCTTCTGAGGGACTAATCAATTCAGCAGCTAATCACTGCAGCTCTAAAAGTAATTAATCATCCATCCATTGAGCTGATTATGCAGGTCCAGGTCACATTAATTGATTATCATTAGGGATTATTGTCATATACACCTGGGAAGGAGCCACCCGCCGAGTGGAGAGCTGAGGTGTGAATGAAGACAAGGTGGGAGTGTAGGGCCCCAGGGGAAGGAGGGTTAGGAGGGGTAGGAGGGTTAGGAGGGCGGTGAAGGAGATGGAGGACAGGTTAAAACAAGAAGCACGGGATGGAAGAGTGAGTGAGATTAAAGTAGCTAAACCTGCACTTTCCCCACATTTTATTTGTTCACGTTGTCATGGTCTCGCTGCCATTTGCCCAGAAGAGAAAGTTGTGGGTGTCTCTTTGACCTTTGTCACATTTCACTCACACTCACATGCATATAAATGAGAGTGTGCAGGGCGTGGGCGGGGAAGCCTCGCCGTGCAAAGTTTGACGTCACTGGCTGTATTTTTAGCCTCGCTATAAAAGCTCAGGTGTGCTCCAGCTTTTCAGCAGTTTGTCGAACAGGTCCCAGACGCCCTGTCACTCTGGGCTCCCGCGGCCCCTCTGCCTCCCCCCTGGGTTGCCACTAGGGGGGGAGCTTTCACCACTCTGCGGCTTCTCACTGGTTGTCTCTGTCTTTGTGTGATCTGACTGTTGAATCAGATCCTGAACTCCTCCTCCTCTTCTGTAAGACCAGCATTTAACTGAAATCATACACCAAAGAGAGTTTTCACCTTAGACTCGTGCACTCCCATGATTGTCTACTCACTCCTGCTTGGACACTCCCACATAAATCAAATGCTAAAAAAATATATTTAATCTATTTTTCATCAGGTTCATGTTTGATTAGGATCAGAAAAAGACTCTTCCCTTTGCTTGAACTGACTCCACAATTTGTCTCTAAAGGTCCGTGTGTGCCTTTAGAGGGCCCTCTGAGTTACGGTCCAAACCGCTCCAAATGCCAGTGAATAATCTGGCTTCGGTTCCACAGCCTCTGGCTGACCTTGTACACACACAGCTGTCTCAGTGAATACTGTGAGAGCACAAGCCTCGCATAAAAAATATAAAACCCACATCGCGGTTTAAAGGTGTGCAAGGGCACCAGATGTTAAAGGTCCTTTTCCATCTGAGGTTAACGGTATGGACGTCCTGTGCTGCGTCAGCTGCCATTTGGACCGCTCCAAATGCCAGTGAATAATCTGGCTTCGGTTCCACAGCCTCTGGCTGACCTTGTACACACACAGCTGTCTCAGTGAATACTGTGAGAGCACAAGCCTCGCATAAAAAATATAAAACCCACATCGCGGTTTAAAGGTGTGCAAGGGCGCCAGATGTTAAAGGTCTACTTCCATCTGAGGTTAACGGTATGGATGTCCTGTGCTGCGTCAGCTGCCATTTGACGTTCAATATTACATGAGCACTTCAAACCTTCGTGGTGACACCTCTTAGCTAAGGGTTAGCGATGGATGTGTGTGCAGTGAAGACGCCGACCCCACACGTCTTTAGTCAAACGTGTTGGGGCTGACACAATGAAGGATGGAGGCTGGAGGATGGAGTTGCTGTTTCTAGGCAACTGAGCGCCAAGAAAATCAGACTCTCACTGCAGTCACGCACACACATTTGCAGGGAGAGCCACACCTAGCCGTGTCTGTGCAAGTCCCTGCAGTGGCAGCACCAGCAGCATATAGAGCATATAGACCTGGTGCAAGGGCACCACAGTGGTGTTTATGTGCGAGGGGGAACGTGTTACTTCACCACTTTAATCTACTGGTCTGAGGACTGAACCGGTGACCTTCCCTTAGGTCACCGCTCCATGTAAGGTTGGTCTCAAACATGCTTTGATGGGATTCTCTGAAGCATTGTGGTTATTTTTGGTGACAGAGAATCTTGTTGAACCCTCAAACAATACACATTCACTAAACAGTGGAAAATAAAAAGGTCATTCCTATCGCCAGCTGTTTTCACTTCTGTCTCCAAGTCGATGGGTCACCAGTGATTTTTCTGTTTCTCTCTTATTTGAATTTTTATCATGTTTTTGTTGATGTTGTTCACTAAACATTTTCTAAGAGCATCTTGTACCGTTGGCTTCAGATTTCAAACTGTTTTTGTCATCAAAGACGCACTGATATTAGTTCATTGATCGGACGCCCAGGTGCTGTCTGTAGTGTCCCCACAAGACAGTGGACAAACAACAGAGCGCCTGTTTATCAGGACGGTTTTGTTCCCACGAACCTTTTGACTCATTGAGTGCCTTTTTGTCTCAGTGCCTGTTCACTTCTCAGTTTTCTTGCTCTCCTCACTCAGAGAGGATGCTGGGTAAACAGCTCAGCTTCCCGGACACCACTCCAGGATGTGGAAAGGAAGACTGCGTCCTCTGGCCCTGCAGGACCGACCATCAGTACTTCCTGTTTTGAGCTGTTCACAGATCTTCTTACTTCCTGGTGCTGAAAGAGACAGGAAGTGGCCTGGTGGGCAGATCAGTGGATCAGGGTCTGAGCAGGACTGACTGATGATTATAGCAGCACATAAACAAAAAGTGCACTCCAGAGTTCAGGGTTTGTTCATGTGCACAGCTGATAGAGAACAGGGAGGGACCCCGGTGGACCTGGATACCGTTGCCTTCATCTGTAAACGGTTGTTCAGAGTAGAGCTATGGAAACAAGTATTATTTTTACATCAAGACGTTTAGAATTCAAATCTCTGTATTCCCTGCAATAAAGGTATTCCTCACTACAGGGCTTTCCCTTCCACAGACAGGCTCAGGCGCAGCGTCAAAGCCGACCAGATGTATAAAGGTGACATATCAGAATGAATGTAAAAACAACAGCGAGTTATACATGTTGAAAAATAACAAAGAGGTGACTTGAGCTCAAAGTGAAACATAAGCTGGCGATAGGAATGACCTGTCAATCAACGGTCAACGTTTGGATGAATGTCTGTTTGGTGGGTAATCAACGGTCAACGTTTGGATGAATGTTTGGTGGGCGGCATCACCGAGCTAATCAAACAGCTGAATGTAGGTAATAATACCAATAATCAATACAGTTTGCCTCCACAATGAACACATGAAGTAAACTAAAACTTAGCTAGAGAGTAATTCTTGTGACCTCAAACTGTTTCATGGAGGTCTTGCACATGCACGGTTATATCTTGCTTACTTTAGACATAAAATTATGGCAAGCGTTCCCTCTGGACCGATGGAGACTTTTAAGTCATTCTTTAAGCCACTTCTGCTGTTTTCTTTCTGTGATAGTATTCAAACATTTGTGTGCATTTGTCAGATTTAGTTTAAAACTACCTGGTCATTCAGCCACTAAGTCAGTAAAGTGCAGTTGGTGCACATCCAGTGCCAGGTTCTGTCAGTGGTCCACACTCTCAGAGATGTTCACTAACTCTCCCTTTGACTCCATGAACGCCCACAGTGACCTGGCCACAGTATCACTGGCAACCAGAAGCAGCAATTAGTCCCTGAGCTGTTAATGAGCTGGAGCAGCTCCAGCAGATCCAGCCAAGAGCCGGTCGCGACAGCAGCGCCAAGAGATGGATAAATCCTGGGACCAGTGGAGGGTCGGTCAGAGGGGTCGGCTGCATTCCGCCCTGTGTAGCTCTTCCTTGTCAAGAATGAAAAAGAAGGAAGGCCCACTAGCTTTCCAACACCCGCTTCTCTAAGGGCCGACTACACTCCCACCCACCAGATGAGATCTGACCTCTCTGGAGACACTTTTCTCCAGGCCGAGACACAACAATCCTGCAGCCAAGCCGCTGCTTGTTGTGCATTACAAGCTTAAGTCTTGGCTTCAGAGGCTGCACAGATAGCACGTGGAGGCTATGTACTGTTCATGTAGTACAGGTAACATCATTATTTCTCTGTCCTTTCCGATGCAGATTTCCTTTCTTCCATGCCGCTTCCACAATCAAGTCCTGGTCCTGGAATTTTAAAAACTGAACAATTAGGTCAGGGTAAGGCAGACTGAGTGAGTCTTGTTTGGTTGAGGGTACCTGTCTATCTCGGGTCCAGATGGAAAGGTTACTCCAGAGGGAAGCCAGAGTGTCACATCCTCTGCAACCCTGGAAAACCGCTGAAGCCAGAGTGTCACATCCTCTGCAACCCTCTGGAAAACCGATGACGTGAAGATTAGTATGATGATGTCTGTTCTCCAGATCGTCCATCTTCTCTCAAAGCAACTCAACTTCTTTCTTGGAGGCCGAGGGGTCTGCTTTCAAAGTCTTCTCCAAATCGTACATAAAGTCCACTTGCGGTTCTGAAAGATGGGCTGCCAGTCCAGCCAGTTTTGCATCCAGGGAATTTGTTGCCGTCTGACTAAGAGTAAGTTGTTGTAGTGTTTAACAAAGCATGAATCTGAGTGGTTTCAGCAGCTGTGTCGGTGGGCCCACCTGCTAAAGGCGGCAATGTCAACACCCAGGATCGACCTGTTTTTAAGCCATTCAAGACAATCGAAGTGAGGCTAACAGCGCTGTTTTGAAACATCAGTCACATGACCTTGCAGTTCAGCTTTTTGTCCTGAGTCTGTGCACAGCCACTGTTTTGAAACGTTTCGAAACACTGGTTGTTTCAGATGCATCAAAACTGTTTTGGAGATTCGATATTGCCCTGGCGAGTGTTGGCATCCTGTTCTTCAGTTGTTTGACTGGGACTACTGGACGTTGCTGGGACATTGTACTTTGGGCTTCTTGTATCGGACATGTTATTTCACTATAATTAATTTACCTTGAAGTTACATAGATAAATAGGCTAATGTCTCAAAAAGGATTTGATTTATTTCGGCAGTTCCACCATGAAACATGTCTAGGCAGCCATGTTAAGATCATGTGATCAGTAGCACAGTTTCCTGATGAAGTTTTGTGTCCACGTGTCCCTGAGATTCTCCTTCATATGAATGTTCACCTCACTTCTATATGATCAGGACGCTCATACCTGAAGAAAAGTGTTTTTATGATGTCTGCCGGTGTCTGTGTCAGACCACCAAGGCTCCCTCCTGCAGAAAAAGGGGCTGACTCATGATTAATGAGCCCTGGGGCGAAGCACCAATCACATGATGGAGTGGTGGTTTTCCACCAATCCTGGCACAGTGACAGCCAGGCTTTGTGGTGTTACTGAGAGAGTGGACTCCTTTGTTCAGCCAAGTGTGCTGCAAGTGTGACAAATCACTTTGCTACACACACACACACACACACAGCCCATATATGCAGACTCTAAAAGTAGCATGGCGACCCCCCAGTGTAGCCCGGGGCTCCTAATGGTCTGGTCACGGGTGAGATGAGACAGACTGTTCGAGTCTGGCACCAGCCAAGCCGTCATGTCAACTAAGATGTACTGACAGTTGTCAGTTTATTAGGAACACCTAGTTGAAACTATGTAATGATGTTAACTGTCATTCTAAAACATAAACATTATGCACATGAAGAAAACTAAATGAAGTACTTAAGGTCCAGTAGAGATATACAAATATAAAGTAAGCAAGATGAAGGAAAAGTAATACTACCGTGAGACAAGGTGGCCAAGCAGGCTAACATTGCAGCATGCCTTGATGTAGCAACAAATAATATGTGGGGTGGCTCAGGGGGTAGAGCGGAAGTTCGATTCCCTTGGACAAGACACTGAACCCCAAGTTGCTCCCGATGGCCTGAGCAGCACCTTTTAGGACCAGAGACAAATTCCCTGTGTGTGTGTAACATACTTGGCCGATAAAAGTGATTATCGATGATCAAACTGCAGAAATAATTGATCTCAGTTGCAGCAGTATCCTGAGATGGAGTGGTGGTACATAATAGCAGTAATTATTCAGTGTGATGTGATTTATCAGGCTCATAGCACCTGGAGGAGGCTGTGTCCGGCCTCCTGCCTGGTCAGTTGGAAGGGTGGGTAAAACCCACCTGTCCCCTGGTTTGTAGGTTGCAGCCTTCGAGCCTGGGGAGTCCTAAAGTCAGTTTGACCTGCTACACTACAGGAAGGCGATGCTGTTCTGTTTGTGTTCAGACTGTTTCAGAGAGGTGTTGATCCAATTCCATTATACATCCATGGTTTAGCCTCTTATCACCAGATGGCCACCAGATGGCACTACTTCAGGGTTTGTTTGGTAAACAGAGACACGTGGTGTTGCTGTAAACAACATTTTAAAGTATTAGAAGCACAGTTTGTACAAGTGACGCCTGAACTCATCTAGTTAAAACTCGGTTTGTCCGCCGTGAACCAGGACTTTATAATGGACATTATGAACGAGTCGCACAGAGCAGATACCGGGTCTTACTCTGGGTTGTTAACCGGTTGTTAACCGGGACCTAGCACGCACTGGAACGGGTGAGTTAAGCTTTCTGCTGTCAAACTACTCTTTGTTCTGACATGCCTCCACAAACATACGGTCTTAATTTATGATTTTCATGCTGTTTAGTTGTGTCTGAAATGAAATAAGGCCTCAACTCAGATGCGGCTAGCTTGTTAGCATCCGTTTGCGTCATCCCTGGAGCTTGTCCGCGGTGATTTGTGACTCGTAACCTCAGTAAAATTTGGTTTTCCTTACGACCTAGTCCTCACGTTGTGTTTGTGAAACGGTGGCCGGTGTGTCGTCCAGTGTAAAGCCAAGATTTTGAGCTGTTCAGTGGGCTACCTGACATGCTAATCGGCTTATCGGGCGCAGACAGCAGCGCGTAAACGTCCACAACTGCGCCTTTCCAGCGGTTTTACGCACACACAGTAGAAGCCCTGTTTTTTGAGTTAACGTAACTGTGTCCTTTCACGGACGCATTTCAGCTGACATGGTTAAAATGTTTTATGTAACTAGAAATATAAATGATCCACCACTAATTATGAGCAAACATTGGTGGTTAATGGTCGGTTATGTTACATCTTAATTTATAAATGGATCAATATGAAAACTGATTGGCCAGGTAGTATCTAAAAGCAGATTCCTGTCTAGATATTTTATCTGCTAACAGTTTCTTGACTGAGTAAACTGTCACAGTATGTTAGAAAACACAAGTATATATATATTGTGATAGAAGCTTTAATTCATATCCACATTTCCATTATACTATTCTAGTGTTTATGCAGTAAGTAAAGGACCTCAGACTGTTGTTGTATACAGAGTGTGTCATACAGATAAACTGGTCTCGCCTTAGTATAATAACAGCATCACTGCTCCATGTGCTCAGCTTCGTTCCTGATGCTCTGACTGGGCTCTGATCAGGTCACTTCTGCTCTGCAGTCCTGAAAGTTGGAGCCCAACATGAGCCAACACCCGAGAGCCTGCAGCTTCCTGTTATTCTGTATTAATATTGCTGTGAGAGCGAGTGTGACTGTGACTGTACAATAAGCTCTGTATTCTTTGCTTTGCTGCGTGTGTTTGTGCACATTGAAGTCCTCCGCTGGCTTGTCCACAGGGACCGCTGATGTTTGGCAGCATTTGTTCCCCAGACAATTTGTGCTGCTTCACTTCCTCTGGCTTTGTTTGTGTCTGTTATTGTTTGTGTGTGTCCTTAATGATTGTGTATATTTTTAATGAGTGTGAGCTTTCACAGCCGTGACCTCAGTACAGCGTTTGAAATATGTTTCATGTCTGACTAATATATGCTCATCACAGGTCTGTTGTGGCTTTTACTCTACATTAATTTTTCCTTTTCCATGTTTTTTTGTTTTCATTTAAAAGTAGATTACATAAGATTTTCCATAGTGTTGATGACACTGCTGCCTCCAGCCTCCTGTTGTTATTCCAGCTTCTCCACCCTGTGTTGTCAAAGTACGGTCTGTAAATCAGCCCCGCCTGCCGCCTAGCCAAGGTTAGAAGAAGGGTTTTTCCAGCCAGTAGTCATGTCAAACAGCCATGGAGGAGCTCTGGGCGGCTAAAAGTCTGAACCAGCAGCTGCCAGAGTGAAGAGGTGGCGTCTTTAGCACAGAGACAGTGGGACAAAGAAAGATCAACAACCAGGGTTAACATGGGTTTGGCTGTTTGACATGGAGAGGGTTAAAAGCAGCCAGAGGACTCAGACTGGATCCAGATGTGGCCTTCTTCAAACGGCCACTTGAGGCAGGTTCCACAAGGCAGTCAGCTTCCATAGACACACGGGTTAAAATGCCCAAATTTAGAGCAGGAATAAACTGTCTATGGTGTCAGTTAGTCTGGTCTCACTAGACCCTCAAGGCTGAAAGGAGATCATCTTGATTTCCTGATCCATCAAACTTACTGCCTAAGGCTGTGAAGTCTTTATTTCCACATAATATTCACATCTTATGATGGAAATCTGATGTTTGGTTTCTTCCGGTTGGTTTGAACTGATCCCTGCTGCAACATGTTGGCGGCAGAGACACATTTCACAAGCCGGATGAATCATCTGCATGTTTGTATCTACTATGAGCTCAGTAGCAGCCTCACAGAGCTGCTAGCATGGCCTTTATCCTGCACTGTAGACGTGTAGATATGCCAGAAGTGCCCTCTCTGTCTCAAAGTGCTATTCATCCTGCACAGACCTGAGTAGCTCCTTCACATCCCCTAGAGAGATTACTGGCTGACATGCTGACCCACTGCCTGCCTGCCCTCACCATTGATGGAATTAGATTTGACAAGAGCGAGGAGGGTGGTCTGATCAGAATCTCATATCCTGATATAGGTCATTTCATAATGATGGGTCACGACACATTTTCTTATACATTCAGTGAATAAATGACCACAAAGAAAGGCTTCTTTCTTAATGCATGTTGAATGATATGACAAATAAAAGGTACTTATACTTTTATATATAAATTACAATAGAAAAGGTAAATAAAAACTTTTCAACTATAGTTTCAGATAAAATAGGTCTAAAATCGTCTGCAGAGGATTGGCTGGGGAAAAT